TACCTCTGGTGCAAATTACTGACCTCTGTCATCATTTTAAGTGGGGGAACTTGCACAATCGGTGGCTGACTAAATACTTTTTTGCCCCACTGTATTTCTATAGAGATGAGCTTTAAATTAATTTGTTGATTTATCTTTTCAATTCATTGTTTTATTGGTTTTATTGTTAGCACTTTGTGATTTTTGAAGTGCTATATAGATACATTTTACTTACTTAAAATATTAACTAATTAAAACTTTTTATGTAAGTAGTAAAATGGTAGGAGGAACAATATTTTCATCCAGAGTAATGATGACAGGTGTGTAGCTGAAACACAAAATCTGGCTGTTTCCACTTGACCACCCCCTGAACTTTCATGGGGTGAACTTTAGTTTTTACTTACTTCTGTCAGCGAAAGTGATTTTTAAAAGTGCTTCTCACACACCTCTTATTAATGTTCTCAGATAAGGTTGCAAAAAATATGTATAATTGTTGTTTTATGTAGTTTTACCCACTGTGCATACTGTGTCTCTGTGTGTGTTTCTCCCTTTTCCTCTACAGGAGAAATACAGTGGGACTGCGACTTTCTATGTTACAACTCCTGCACAGGGCACGCAAGTTCTCACTTTGTCCTGACCTCTGTCAACATCTCTGCATTCCTTTAATTTGATTTTCTTTCTTTAATTTCATTAAGTGGTGTACTGCAATACACACTAATGTTGATTGAAAAGAGTTGGGCAAGTGGCTTTATTGTTGAAACATGTTTATAAAAAAAAAAAAATTGCTTAAGATAACTTGTAGCAACTGCTTCATATTTTTGATATGGAAATCCAGCTGGGTTTATTTACGATTTATGATTTTATATTGATCCCACATCTCTATTAATAAACCATGTTTCTAAAATGTGAATGTTTTCAGAGCTTTTTTTTGTTTTAACTTATTTTTTCATTTTAATTCTATATTGAAATGTGTCAGCTAATATTAGCACACAGATGAATTTCACTTAAATGTGAAGGTCAGTTTCAGTAAACTTTTATTTTATGGGGTCAATATATGACCACTGACTGCTGAAGTTAATTTAGACAAACAGGAAAATTATTGTTCAATTATTTTATTAATTACTATTTATTTTAAGAAAAAAAGCTTCATGACATCTAACCAAGTCAAGAAATCATCAAATCTTACATCAAGAGATGCCTTTATGAATAGAAATTACATCAAGGTGCAACCCACTAGTTAGAACAATTAACAACAAGAAGGTGAAAGTAGTCTGCACACAAAAAGAAGAAAAGGAATTAGCCCCACTAGAAGTCATTAGTATTACTGATTAAATATTTTTATTTACTCTTTTTTTTTACATAAAAATACATTTTTTGTCCTATACACTAACATTAAGGATTTATGAAAACAACACCTGGGGACATCAAGTAAGTATCTTTTCATTGAGGATACTTTATTTAGCTTCATGTTCTGTGCCTAGTCGATGTGTAAATAAAATTTTAAAAAGTGTTTTGTTATCACATTAGTTATAATAAAATCATATTTGGTTCCCTGCTGAATTTTTGAGTTTAATCACTTATGAAAAAAAACAAACAACAATCTCTAGATTTTATGGTTGTTTCATTATAATGGAGAACACCAATAACCAAAACAAAAACACAAATATTGCATCAAATATCAAATGAATTGATTTGCTTGGCTTTGAGTGAAATAAGTATTTAATCGCTTACAAACAGTCCGAATTCTGGCTCCCACAGATTGGTTGTGTGCCCATGTGGCACACAGATTAATTTTAAATTCAATTTCATTCTTATTTATATAGCACCAAATCACAACAACAGTCGCCTCAAGGGACTTTATATTGTAAGGTAGACCCTATAATAATACATACAGAGATAAAACCCAACAATCATATGACCCCCTATGAGCAAGCACTTTGGCGACAGTGGGAAGGAAAAACTCCCTTTTAACAGGAAGAAACTTAAGGCTCAACCAGGCTCAGGGAGGGGCGGCCTCAACCAGTTGGGGTGAAAGAAAGAAGAAAGGACAAGGGACATGCTGTGGAAGAGAGACAGAGATTAATAACAAGTGTTATTTAATGCAGAGAGGTCTATTAACACATACTGACTGAA